TCCTTTGGCAATTCAATTTTGAAGGACGCCACTGCAATTTCGGGATTACATCCTTCGACCTCATTCATCGTTTCCCAATAGCGATGAGCATACTCTCTCAGGGTTTCATTATTCTTCTTCTTCAACGTCAGCAGAGCTTCAACATCCTTTGGCTGCTTACTACTTGTAATGAACCGAGCCGTGAACTGCTCAGCCAGTTGCGAGCATCCATCTATCGACCCCTTTGGTAAACTGTCAAACCATTTCATGGTCGACTCCCCAAGACTGCTAGAGAAAATGGTGCAAAGTAGTGGCTCGTTCCTTCGGTGAATTGCCATCAACTATTTGTAATGTCTGATGTGCGAGGCTGGGTCAATTTTTTCGTCGTAAAGTCTAAAATTTGGGACGATAAACTTGCTCGGGATTTGCCCCCTTTCAAGCCATGAAGTGAAGGGTGATGACTCTGTGCCATTCCTGAATTCCCCTGTTGCTCTCCTGGCTAGGTCCTTAGCCGTCCTCTGTTTCGGCTTTTTCAAACGGTTGTTGAGTTCCTCGGTAATGTATTGTTTCCATGAGTCTTCCTCCAAAACGCGAGGTCTTTTCTACTAGTACTTGTCATCCCTAGCATCCTTGGTTTTGTCATGTTTTTTCTCAGGACTTTCTCATCGGCTGTCCTTCTCACACTTCTCTTTTCTGGTCAAGTCCTTCAACCTGGCTTTCAACTCTTCATTCTCCTTTATTAGGTCCTTTTCCCCAGCGTAAGATTTCTTAAATAATTTGTCGTGTGCATCCAGCCTGTCCTACAGGGTTTGGACCAACTTCACCAAAGAGTGGTTTTTCCCCTCAGCACGAAAGGATTCCCCACGATCTACAATCTACTAATTTTGACCTTTGGATGGTTTGAAACTGGCTGAAGATACCTCATCGTCTTCGTGAGGTCTGGATGGGCTTCTAGTGGCATGTAATCTAGCGTTGCTGCCAGATGGGAGTGAAACTGGATTAGAATTTTCCAAGGCAAAACTACCTCTAGGAGATCCAATTGCACTTCTTAGTCTTGACATCGTAGCCTTTCGTTGCGAATGATGAAAGTCTTCCCATAGACGGTGCCAAAAATGGAAGGGATAAAAAATCAATGATACCTATAAGGGATAAAAATCGATGATACCTCCCACTAAAGATTGAATTTGATATTTATGATAAATGATCTTTCTGAACTTGATCTCTCAATCCTCTTGTTCAGCAAAACAAACAAACTGTCCAAGATCGAAGTGCTTCAATCAAAGGCACTCCGATGCTTAAGTCAGTAATGGAATAGAAACAATTGCTGAAATATAAGGAGAGTTCAGCGTACCTTTCACCTTGGTTTCCCCTATTTTTTTTATAGATAGTCATCCCTTTAGGGTTACCGTGATTTTTGATTCAAGGTGGCAAACTTTCCTTTAATTCAGTGATTCAGTTTGGGAAGTTGCTAATATTTCTCAAACAATTTCTCTTGACATCTGCAATTTCGTTGATTCATTCATTCAAAATGCCTAAATTAAAGGCTTATCTTTATTTTTTTATCTTCTGTTTCAAACAGCTCGATCACAATGAGAGCCGAGCACTTTTGATGCTTACCGAATACAATGATATGCTCGGTTTAATAAAAACTGAGCTCTTTCGTTATTTTGCCGAACGCATTGGTCAGTTCGGCCAGACCCATTTGACTGAGTAATTGATTTCCTTGCCATTCGCCTTGTCTTATCAATCTCACGTGGGCTCATTAAAAGCCACAACACGTGTAGTAATGGGAGCCAACTCCTTCAACAAATAAATCTCAAAAGTTAAACAAAAATACTTAAAAGATAAATACTAAAACTATCCAAATTACTCTCATGATTAATCTAAAAAATCTATCCAATTCTTATACGATTCCCATCAACAGGTACTCAGGTAGGTAGGGCTTGCTGCACCTACTTATGTACAGAGATCAACGCTGTATATGACAGTTAATGCCTACCTATAACTACCTCAATTGTAGTTATACTGATGACCGCTCACCACGCGCCAGATATTCGAAATTTTATTAATCAGATGTGACGTTTTCTTGTATACAACTTAGCCTTGGCCATCAATGAAATGNTTAGGTCCTTTTCCCCAGCGTAAGATTTCTTAAATAATTTGTCGTGTGCATCCAGCCTGTCCTACAGGGTTTGGACCAACTTCACCAAAGAGTGGTTTTTCCCCTCAGCACGAAAGGATTCCCCACGATCTACAATCTACTAATTTTGACCTTTGGATGGTTTGAAACTGGCTGAAGATACCTCATCGTCTTCGTGAGGTCTGGATGGGCTTCTAGTGGCATGTAATCTAGCGTTGCTGCCAGATGGGAGTGAAACTGGATTAGAATTTTCCAAGGCAAAACTACCTCTAGGAGATCCAATTGCACTTCTTAGTCTTGACATCGTAGCCTTTCGTTGCGAATGATGAAAGTCTTCCCATAGACGGTGCCAAAAATGGAAGGGATAAAAAATCAATGATACCTATAAGGGATAAAAATCGATGATACCTCCCACTAAAGATTGAATTTGATATTTATGATAAATGATCTTTCTGAACTTGATCTCTCAATCCTCTTGTTCAGCAAAACAAACAAACTGTCCAAGATCGAAGTGCTTCAATCAAAGGCACTCCGATGCTTAAGTCAGTAATGGAATAGAAACAATTGCTGAAATATAAGGAGAGTTCAGCGTACCTTTCACCTTGGTTTCCCCTATTTTTTTTATAGATAGTCATCCCTTTAGGGTTACCGTGATTTTTGATTCAAGGTGGCAAACTTTCCTTTAATTCAGTGATTCAGTTTGGGAAGTTGCTAATATTTCTCAAACAATTTCTCTTGACATCTGCAATTTCGTTGATTCATTCATTCAAAATGCCTAAATTAAAGGCTTATCTTTATTTTTTTATCTTCTGTTTCAAACAGCTCGATCACAATGAGAGCCGAGCACTTTTGATGCTTACCGAATACAATGATATGCTCGGTTTAATAAAAACTGAGCTCTTTCGTTATTTTGCCGAACGCATTGGTCAGTTCGGCCAGACCCATTTGACTGAGTAATTGATTTCCTTGCCATTCGCCTTGTCTTATCAATCTCACGTGGGCTCATTAAAAGCCACAACACGTGTAGTAATGGGAGCCAACTCCTTCAACAAATAAATCTCAAAAGTTAAACAAAAATACTTAAAAGATAAATACTAAAACTATCCAAATTACTCTCATGATTAATCTAAAAAATCTATCCAATTCTTATACGATTCCCATCAACAGGTACTCAGGTAGGTAGGGCTTGCTGCACCTACTTATGTACAGAGATCAACGCTGTATATGACAGTTAATGCCTACCTATAACTACCTCAATTGTAGTTATACTGATGACCGCTCACCACGCGCCAGATATTCGAAATTTTATTAATCAGATGTGACGTTTTCTTGTATACAACTTAGCCTTGGCCATCAATGAAATGATGCATCCTTCGAGGTAAAAGGTGACACCTGAGGTGGAGAGTTATAATTGGTCACTGTGGGAGTATAACCATGTGAGGGTCAAGTCTGCGGTGCCCCCTAATGCACGCATACGTAGGGTCCTCTCTCCCCTTTTGAACCCTTTCTAAGGTCTCTGTTTGATGTCCAATCAAAGATACTTGCATACTTTTGGCCCTTTAATAGACAATTCAAATGTCTCATCATCTCATATGTTGACCTAAATCATTAACCTATTGTACCTTAAAAGTCCTCGAGATGTTAGTCATGCACAACCTAGTGGACAATGAGTCATACACTAGGAGGCTTACTCGAAATACTAAACATTCGAGATCTTGTCTAAAATGAGGAGCGTTGTATTATTGTGTCCCGAAGTAGGGACCCTTCCTCTTAGTCTCTTGAGCTAGTTGAGCAACGGTATATCATTGATTAACCTTGCCACAATGAGCATGTAATGGATTTCAGGTTCTCTCTAAAGATCCCACTCCGAGATACCCCTGGAGCATTGACTAGGTATATAAAACTCTACCACCAGCGACATCCTAGCCATGTGCCTTTACTTTTGAGATGAGGAAGGCCATTCACATCAAGTTTGGCCCTGATTTTCACGGTGCCACTCTCGTTCCTTTTGGACAAAGATTTAATTTGCTATTTCTGTTGTGATGAGGATGTGTTTCGCCTTTTCGCGATACTTAACTCTTTTCATAATATCGCGAACTATGTCAATTGCGGGACTTTGTAAGGACCCATTTTGTCTTGTTAGCTCGTGACTCTTTTTTGGATTGTCATTTGTCCTTCTATAGTGTGGTCACGTGTCATAGCTGTATTGGTTACTATACGATGATATTACTTGGTAACATATTTTCTACCGATAGAAAAGAAGCCGTAGAAATTTGGAAATGTTAGGTGAGAATTGAGAATGCTTCTCATTACCCGCTTTCATACATCTCTGTCCTGAAGAACAAGTAAAGCAAAGTTGAAAGCCACGCGTCAAAAGCCAAAAGAACACTTCAAAATGCATTAGAACCTTCCCAAGAAGCGACCATGTCTCTTCCTATTTCCTAACCCATAACAAAGAAAAAGCAATCAATATAGAAAAATCGCCAAATTCTCTGTTCTTTTATTCCTATGCTAGAGGACAAAACGCCTCATCAATTTCTCCAATCTCTCTCTCCTCCCCCTTTGTTTATACTGTTTAAAATGTTCTAAAGTGCTGTTGTTTCTAAACTTTTCCAGAAACCTGTATGATCTCTTTGTTTCTTGTGGGGTTTTTTTTTCTTTGTTTTATGACTAATGTCAGATGAATTTAAAAATTAGACTTGATAATTTTAATCATTGAATAGATAGTGAATTTTAATAAATATTGGGACCTATAGTAAAATCAATGATTGAGATTATCAAGTATAGTTTATAAATCTATTTTTTAAGTTTATATAACATTATTTTTATTTTATATAAGAGTTACATATACGAAACCCAGAAAAGAAAACCCTCAATTTCTGCACATAATAGTGTATAGCTTTTTCCCAGGAAGTTATGGTCGTGCCCTTCTTCAACTTGGCTCACAAAAAACAAAACAGCCATGGTAGAAGCTAAGATCAAAAAGCCTCCTAACACCTCTCTCGTTCACTCCCGATTATTTCTCTACGGGTTTTACTGCTGGGGTTGGGAGTTCCTCAGTGCTCTTCTTCTCTTTAGTTGTTCCGTCTAGATCAACCACACACCCTTGATAAAGGATTATACAGTTCTATTTCCACAACCCATACTTGTTCTTTCTTTCTGGGATTTTTAATATAATTATTTTAGTAGCGAGAGTCTTCTGTACCGTTTTTCTTTTTCAAAATGGTGCAGCGGTCGGTGCCGGCGCCGTTTTTGTCGAAGACGTATCAGTTGGTGGATGATCGGAGCACCGACGACGTGATATCTTGGAATCAAACGGGTACAACCTTTGTGGTCTGGAAAACTGCGGATTTTGCGAGGGATTTACTGCCTAAATACTTCAAGCACAACAACTTTTCTAGCTTCGTCCGCCAACTTAATACTTATGTAAGTTATCTTTTCTTCTTCTGTAATTTTTTTCCTGTAAAAAATTCATCTATGTTCTTGCTAGAAATTAATCTATTTATGTGGAAGAATAATGCATAATGAAAAAAAAAAAAAAACTTCATATCTAAGGAAAAAACCAAGATAATTAGTCCTCACTTTTAGTATTTCTTGTGATCCACGGATCGTGTATTATTACTAAGGTTTGTATTTTCGAGTTACAAAAATAATATCTTAGACCATGATAATGTACGTTTTTATTTTCTTATGATGATATTAGTTGTCACTTAGGAGGAATTATTATGAAATTTTGCAAATAATATTTGGAGAACCAATACTGTAATAAGCTTTAGCTAAACATGATGTCATCTTTTATTTCTTTTCTCTAGTGCATTAATATATTTAGTTTATTTAATAATAATTTATGTGAAAGAGAGAAAAAAAAAAAAGAAAACAGACGCGATTGATAGGATTTGACTTGTCGTTTTTTTAGGAAATTCAATGTGTGTATAATACCTTGATGTTGTTGTAAAAACTTGTACCTTCACTATAGAAAAAAAATTATATTAATAGATATAAAAAATAAATTTAGATGTTTTAAATTTGAATATTGATAGTTCTTTGATCTTAAAAGATAAGAGATTTATTTCTCATTCATATTTTAATCTCGATGTAAATAGTCTGTCTTTGATCAGATTAAGGAGAATATTAATTAAAGTATGTATAAATTAGTCTACGATTAACCATTAAACAAAAAAAAAAGAAAAAATATTAAGTAAATATTACCTTAAAAATGAGAGAATGAGAGGGTCAAAAGTCTCATTTGCATTTTTTCTAAGGAAACTTTAAACCACTACAAAAACACAGTTGTAGATTTTTAAGGGTTAATTATTAGATATTGACGCTTCACCTTTCAACAACCTCCGTTAGGTGAGGGGTTAGAATGGTATTTTCAGTTCTACTATTAACTAGACAAACGTGTACGAAAGGGAGGTACGCCTCATCTCCAGATTGGGACGCTCGGTCCAGCTGCTATCCAGCTTTTCCGGTGGGGGCCTTCTATACGTATATTGGCCATTTCCGCGTACAGATTTTGGAAAAGTCTAGAAAGCCTTCCGTCTATCTGAGCTGTCCATTTCGAATCTAATCACTGATCATGACTATACATTTCTAATTTTGATCTGAATATAATTGTAAGACAATAGAAGAAATAATAAAAATAAGTTATTAATTCATGCAATCTTTAGTTTTTGTTTCTTATGAATACTTTAGTTTCGGTATGATTAATCTGTCTTTAACTGGACTGGGAGGAGATCAATCGATATGCCTGTAAATTAATTCGAATACCCCTTGATCGATTAACTAATTGACAAAAGAATGTGAATTTGATTATTTTAGATATGTATTATAATTTTTTGGCAACTCATTAAATTTTGGGTTCTCGAAGAATTTCTTCGGTATGTAAGATAAAAATGAAATTAAATGGGGGTGATATTCGGGTTGAATTGTGTACAAAATTCCATTTTAATGAATGAAGTTTGATCCAACCACGAGAGTCAACAGTAGTGGTTGGTCAAGGAGATTAAAAATGTGTACGTCAATCGCTCTCTCCCCATGGACGTCACTTTCAGTTATTGTTTTGTCGTAGCCTTATTAGGCTCCTAGCAGACAATTACCACCTGCCCATTATTTTTTGTGATTTTTTTCTAATTTGACGGCGTAAAAGATACGTGTTTTGTGTTGTTCCCTTAACAACCTGAAATAATTTATAGAAAAATGCATTGAATTTTGGTAGTCTTTGTCAATTTTGATGTGCTATTGGGGTCATATTATTAGGTATTATAAGGAATCTGATCTGCAACTGTAAGTCAAATAAGGGGGTAGGTTTAGTCTTTATTTTAAGTTCTTTTATGGATTCTTCTACACCGATCCAATCATGTAGAAGCAAGTTCGGCAGAGTTATTACTCACATATATGTAAGGGCATGGTTGTTTTGACAAGAAGCAAGTTCGGCCGAGTAATTACTAACATATATGTAAGGGCATGGTTGTTTTGACAAGGGGGTTGGATTGAATTGGATTGGATTGGATTGGAGTATTATTTTTTTTTCCATTTTAACCCCGTAACTTTGGAAGGCATAAATCGTCCCTCTTTTTTCTGTCTTTCACCTTGTTTTCTTACGTGATTTGCAGTATTGTTAGTCCCAAGAAAAAGAAGAGCATTTTCTTCCCAAATTTCTACCCAAAATGAGGCGGATTTTTCTTGGTGGGCGGATGAATGCACCTTCCATTCATACCAAACAATGAAAAATTATTTTTTCCTCCTATTAATAAAGACATACTATATATGAGTAAATTTCTCGTGTATATGCAATTAGTTATTTACTTCAAGTATGACAGAGAAAATTTAAATTTTTATAATTAAACACGTGGATAAGGCGCCTTTTAGCTAATTAAAGTTGGTTAATCCACTTAATTTTTTTTATGAATTTGTGAAAAATATAATCACTTTGAACAAAAAATTAATTGCTAAAATTGACCAGTTGTATTTTAGAATAAAGGATCAAATTGTTTGACTATAAACTGGATTGAACAACCTAATTCTATATCCATTCGGTTGGACAAGAATGACAAATCTAAAATCTATATCTTATCATCCCATGTTTAATTAAGGTATTAAGAACTAGTAGGTCTCACACTTATCTCATACAAACTTTGTTTAGATGAGATGTTAAATGATGGTATAAGATTAAATTACTAAAAAAACTCTAAGGTAAAGTATAGTATTTATATTTATATCTTAGGTTTTCTCAAGGATAAAATTTTATTTTGTCCAAACATACACCAATCGGGTTATTATAACTCACCAAATGGGGGAATTTATTTAAGGACTATGTTAGTATAAATCTACTATTTAGCCGGGCCTTGGAATATTTATAAAAAAAATACTAAGGTAAGATTTTTTTGAATTGTTTTTTTTATTTTTTTGGATGAACACACATAAATTAAACTTGCCTCTACTCTTTGACAGGGCTTCCGAAAGACGGTGCCCGACAAATGGGAATTTGCCAATGAAAATTTCCGGCGAGGAGAAAAGGAGTTGCTCACTGAAATCCGTCGCCGGAAGACTATCACCCCAATTATAACTCCAAACCAGGCCGCCGGAAAATCCACCACCGGCGGTGCTCCTTCGTCATCAAATTCCGGCGAGGACCTAGGCTCAACATCAACCTCATCTCCCGACTCCAAGAACCCAGGGTCAGTGGAGACGGCACAATTCGCCGACTTATCGGACGAGAATGAGAAGCTAAAAAGGGAGAATCAGATGCTGAACACTGAGCTTTCGCAGACCAAGAAGCAGTGCGATGAGCTTGTAAGTTTTCTCACCCAGTACCTGAATGTCGCGCCTGATCAGATCAATCGCATCGTGAGCCAAGGAACCTGTGGGTCCAGCCTTGATGCTATGACTGGTGAGGGCGGTGACGATGCTGTAGAAAATGATCTTGATGATGATGACGAAAATGAAGAAAGTTTGAAACTTTTTGGGGTGTGGATGAAAGAGAAGAAGAAAAAGAGGGGTCGTGATGAGAATATGGGTTTTTCTGGGGCTCATAGGAAAGAGTTAAAGACTCTTGGATGAAGATTTCTTTCCTCCCTTGACGAACCAGTGTATAACCCTAAAGTGAGAAATTTTCTCTGTAGTATAAAACGTTACATTATACACTTCAACCCTAAGGCCGGTTTGTGAAGTAATTATTAGAATAAATGCCTTTATTAGAGTTTGATCACTCTAGTTATGTTTAGTTTGAGTCGTATAAGAGTTGGAGATCAAAGACAAATGGGTCTCTCAATTCTATTCATCTACGAGTAATACGAATGTAAAATTGGCAATTTGTACTTGAAATATATATTGTTGGGAACATTTTTATATTCTGATAAATTCTATCATTTTCTTGGTTTTATCTTATTGATTTTTTATTTTATTGTCTTTGTACTTGAAATAATGATTGCATTGTTTTTATTTCTTTATTTTTATAATTCTTTTCCTCTGCAAGGCTTTAGATTTCAAGATCGGGCACTTATATAAGTTATTAAGCATATTATTGTGATAGTTTAGTGATGGTGATGCATTCAAGTCCAGATCTCTTTCAAAGTCCAAAATTTTTTTGGGCTCTTGATGACCCAAACGTCTCATCTAGATTGCATTTATTGGGCCTGAGTTGGACCACCGTCCAATTCTATAGAAACCCACAATAATTTAACTCGAAATAGATGTCAGCTCGGCATCAACAAACTTGGTATAAATACTTACTCGGGAGTTGGGAGCTCGGTATCAAGTAATTCATAAATGGTTGTACCGCGACACGTGAACAGGAGACAAAATGATAGTATCTGACAATCTTTAAGAAAGAATATTCATTGGTAGTAGAGATGACTCACATATTCCACTCAAGGCATAGTGGGCACAAGAAAACGTCAAGAATAGCAGACCCAACAAAAAGACAAATAATGAGAGGACCACCAAATTAGTCAAAAAAAGAATCACCACAAAACTTTAATGACGGGATGTATAAATAGCAAATGATGCCACTGTCTAAATAGACAGAGTTGAATTATACCACCCAATAATAATCTAGGAAATACTTTGTAAAGGCTTCTAACCAAATCTCTTGTATCATCAATCTTCTTTCTCAACAATACAATTCCCATAGAGCAAGAACATCCCCAACAGTAAATATAACCTTAATCATTCGGTTGAGTTGAATCACTCATATTAGTGTTTTTGTGTCACCTTCAACACTTAGCATACTTTCTGTCACATAAGCACATACTCATTCCCTCTTAGCCATATTCTAGATTGTTTTGTAATTGAGTCATTTGATTTCGAACATCATCATTTAGAATTCTCTTTTAAAATTAACTAAATTTATTATATTGTATCTCATTATACTAGTATTAAGTTACGAAAGGAGATCCTATTTTAAACTTTTATTTTGGTCAACGGTTAAGGGTGTTTGAGTTAATTTACGTGTACCTCGACTAATTTCTTTTTTAGTCTGGTCAAATATATGTTATCCACGCTGGAAGTAGGGTATCCATGAGAAATAAATCCTTTATACCAGGATCCTAAAGAATTGTTAAGTTTTGAACTAAAAACGTTTAATTTTACAGCTCGTTTCTGTTACTATTTGAGTTATTCAGAATTTACAGATCCTATTTTAAACTTTAGTGTAATGAGACTAAAATTCAAATTTAAAACGTTTAAATTTACAGCTTATCTCTATTATCGCTTAAATTATTTTAAATTTATAAATTTTATTTTAAACTTTAACATAACACGTACATAATTTATGTGGATTATATTGTAGTTAGGCATGTTGGCCATCCAGTCTCAGATGACTGACGAGTGAAAAACTTCGGTTTGGATGTGATAGTACACACAATTAAGAAGATATAGATGAGGTCTGGTTATGTCGAGGGGCTTTTATTTAAGGTTTTCGGTATTGTATATCTCTCAATTTTCATTGGTTTGGCCAGGGCAGCCCGAAATAATTCAGGGTTTCAAGCGAAAGTTGTAAATAATATCTTTTAAACTATAATATTAGTATACAAATTGTAGAATTAGAATTTTATTTAAAAATTATTATTTTCTTTTTTTGAGATGTAAAATTGATTGTGAATAGGGCTTCAAGAGTTTTAATTTTAAAAAAAATAAATAAATATTTTGCCAAAGCAATATAGATATTCTTAATAATATTGTCTAAGTAATTAATAAATGCATTTGAAAAAAATTCATGTCTTTTTTCTTTTTACAATTTTTAATGTTTCTCATTAATATATTTTCTGTAGAACTATAGTTAGATTTTAGTTCCAACAATAAATCTAACTAATCAATACTAGAAAATTGATCATATTTTACACAATTCTCGAAATATTAATAATATCCTTTCAAGTTTGTGAGATAAAAAATAATTTTTTTAAATGACAGAAAATGAGAGAAATAGAGAGGGAGAGAATAACAGCAAGATATCATCGAATTCTTTCTTCTTTTTCTTCTTTTTTATATTGTTGATTAGAAGATGCGATTCCATGTAAATATAAGTTAAAAAAAAACATTTCCAACCTATACCCTTTTAATACACGGATCTCAAGAGGGAAATGGAGAAAATACGAACTAAATTAATTATGTTTTGGAATGAATATGACAAAGGTTGACAAACGGTTATCAAAGGTTGACAAACGGTTATCAACAAGTCTTGAGAATGTATAAAAACAGAATAAAATATTTAAGAGTAATTATATTGAGATCTAAAAATCTAACAATCCTTTAAAATCAAGTCACGAAGGGATTTATCTTTCATGAATATCTTAATTTCGACGTGAATGATATATTTTTGACCAGACCGAAAAAAAAATTAATCGAGATACACTTAAATTGATTTGAACACATCTGACAGTTAAAATTTTATTTTGTCCTTATTATTTACCTAATAATATGACAGTTGATATGATCTAATAATGTAATTATAACTGAAACTTTTGAACTTAAGTAAAATTATATTATTTAGTAAGTAAATTGGTCAAATTTTTAAATCTTAATAATAATAATAATTACTTAATAGACTTCATATCTAATACGCAATGATTATAGTATCGTTTGAGAGTGATAGAAAAGACTATCAATTAAGGTGATATTTTGTTTTCTGCTTTCCACTGGGATTTGCTGTCCTTGTTTGTGATTATTGCTGTTCTTTTTAGTTGGTAACATTAATTTGGGAAATAGTGATATTATTGAGATAAAAAAAATTAATATAATTTATTGTTTAATAGTTTTAGGACTTGACTTTTGAATCTCTTTATTAAATCAATGGATTGTGTTAAATTTTTTTAATAATGATATTACATCACCTTTGTGTACCACCTTATCTACTCTATTTGATTTGATATGGCATGATCTCAATCTTTAAATATTTAATGAATTTAACGAAACCACTAATCTAAACGGTTTATGTTGAATAATTCAACAAGCAAGGGGTGGGTTTTGCAGCTGGACATGGTTGGCCAACTTATCTATACAATCCCTGGAGACAAGTTTGGGTGAGGAAGATTGTTTCAGGAATATTGGGCTTGTTTGGATCTGGCATTTTTAAATGAAAAGTTGTAATTTATAAAGTTTTGTAAAAAAATCAGACTTACTAAAGTTTCCCAAAATCGTTTGAGGTATTTTTAAAAAAGTTAAAAAAAAATCTATTTAGAGTATTTTTTTAGTTTTTTTTTTATGTCAAAATAAAGAAAATGATTATATATATGTATAAATTATACATAATTGTTCCAAAAATATGAATTTCAAATTTTTTTTATGTCACTAATAATATTTTATGAATATAATAAATTAAAAAATTATGTGAGACCCGCAACAAAACTTAAAAAAGCCGAAAAAAAAGTTCAAAAAATTAGTTTCTTCAATTAGCATAAATAAGCTTTTTTGAGTCTAAAAAATTACTTAATAGTAAAAAAGCATGATCCAAATAGACCTGATTTATTTTCCTCAAACTCTTAAAAAATTACATATTTAAGTTAACTTTGAAGAGATCCATTAATCCTAGAACACTAATATTCACTTTTGTTTTTTTATACCAAGAACAGATTTGCAATTACACTACTTGGTTAAATTGATTTGGATATTCTCATTAATAAGCATGGCCTTTATGATCTACTTTTTTTAACCACTGCCACCAATTTTGCCGCGGTGAAACAGAGGTGGTTGTATGGTGAGTGGAGTTTATGTTTGGTGTGTAATTTAAGCGGGTCAATTCGACTTCGACTCGAATAAAATAGGGCTTGCATTAGAATTTTTAATACTTGAATTGAATTTGAGCTAAAAAATTCTAACCCAAATTAAATTTGGGCAAGCCTTAATTTGAGGCCTCGGATTATCGGGTTCAACCCGAATATTAAAATTGGGTTGAACCTGAATATACATAAATATATAAATATATTTAACTATGGTTAATATTCCTCTTCAATCTTTAGAGCACAAACTTTCATTTCACTTCAAGTCTTCACTCATGCGCCTCTATCACTTTCAGATTCCTCTCTCAATCGTGACTCGTCTGAATCGTCTTAGACTTTCAGCCTCCCTCTTTCACTCGTCACTCCTCCCTATCTCACTCCCTTTCTCTTCATCTGTGTCCCATCTTTCATTTTAGATCATTTAAAAAAATTAGATCTATACTTCAAAAAATCAAATCTACACTTCAAAAAATCAATTCGAATTAAGGAACCAAAGCCAACTTAATTTTTAGCCCGAATTAAGTAACCCGAATTCAACCCGAGCCCGTCCAAATTAAACTCGGACATTACTCAAGATAAGTATCTCGGGTTAAGGTAGGGTTACGGTTAGGGTTGAAGGTTATATAATTAGGATTTGACTAAGGTTGACCTCTCAACCCGTCCAACCCATCCGAGTTGCACCCCTAGTTTATGTCGGTGATAGCAATAACCATGCATCAATTCTTTGGTGATAGCCAGATGCAAGCAGCTGATGGTCACTAGTGAAATTCTAATCATTCACAATCTTAGGGAAGGAAACCAATGTGTAGATGCGTTGACGAATTTGGGAGTTCAACAACAATGCGG